TTAATCATCAATGGGTGTTGAATTTTGTCAAATGCTTTTTCTGTATCTATTGAGATGATCATATGTTACTCAATCTTTAAAGATAGACATTCTATAAACTCTTCCCCCTACCTCCACCACCTGCTATAGCTGTAAAATCATATTTGACTTGTCAGTAGTTGCTCTAGAATACTTCCTCTTCAGCAAAATAACTGTTATTTTTGGCTGGGAAACCACTTTTTTTAATTTTCAAAAGACAAAGTATCATTTCAGAACTTAATTTCAGGAAATAGTTATCATCCATGATTAGTATAATATTAATAATGAGCAACGTGAGGCTCACCCAGAGAATATCAATTTGAAAAATAAAAACTAAAATGATATGGAAAACAATAGTGGAGAATTGTATAAATACTGTATAAATAGTGTTCCTTTGTCTTTCTGGGCCCAATACTGCCCCTTACAGCTTGTGAGTGAAGATTAAAATTTCTCTTGCTGAAATAATTAATGTAGCTGTAAAACCCACTGCTACAGATCTGGGGTATCTGCCCCAGTATGCACCTCTAGAGTTCCCACACCTAGCCTGCCCCATCAAAGAAGAATCATTATCAAAATTGTAGTCATGCCTGATGGTGGACTTGTCACTCAGAGGAGAACATGGGAACATAAGGAAATCTGGTTCTGAAAGACATGACACTTCTCAGAATGATCTGCTATAGCACTTCTTTAAGTAATGAACTACTCCTAATGTACTTAATATCTTGTTTACAAAAATTCTGATTATACATAATTCCTAGAAATGAATATAGTGATAAAAGAAGAATGTATGGTCAGGGATTTGGCTCAGTGGTTCTGCCACCTGCCTTGCAAGTGAAAGGGCCCGAGTTCAATCCCTGGTACCAAAAAAAAATAATAATAATAATGTGATAATGAAGCAATTCTGAAATAGCTGCAAAAGAAAGGCCAATACTGTCCAAATGAATATTGAATGAATTCTTAAGGCCATTGTGTGTATTCATCATTGCATATCAAATTGAATGGATTAAAAAAACAACTAGAAGATAAGTGGAGCACAATTCTGGGTAGGATTGTGGATGATTGACATGCAGTCCAGCAAACAGGGGAGAAGTTGTGGGCAGTATCAACCAATAGGCTTGTAGCCTAGACAAGAGAAAAGTAGGAAGTGTCCTCTTTTGGAATAGCTCCAGTCTTCACCATTGCCTTTGGACATCAGCTTCTAGTTTCTTCAGTCTTTTAATGCACACATATACTCTACAGTGAGCCACCAGGCCTTAGACTTTGGACTTTTGTGCTCTTGATCCTTCTAATTATGTTGCTTACATCTTCTTAGGATGAGCAGGAACTATCTGACTGTCAAGCACGAAGATAGCTATTGTAGACTCTTCTGCCTCTGATCCTGTAAGAGAATCTAGTATGTCACCTTGCAAAATTATACATAGATTGCATATTGTTCTTGTTTCTCTAGAGAATTCTAATGCAGCCAATAAAAGTTTTGTACTTAGCTGGAGTATCTTTCTTTGAAAATGTCCCAGTGGACCTTTTCCTTGTATGCTTCCTCTAACAAACTTGTTCAGAGTCCAACATGAGGCTGGTGCTTCCTGTCTCAAATAAAAGCTATGTTCTTTCCCACACTCCTCTTACTGTTTACATGAAAGTGACCATGTTTCTTCACACTTTTATGAATATAATTATCTCCAAATCCCATGCTATCAGTCTTTGTCAAACAGCAGCTTTCTTACTGTTATAATTTCCAGCTCCTTGGTCACTGACTTTAAAAAACATATCTAAATGCTTCTATAGAATTGTTCCTGTGACTTCATAGATGGTCATTCTAATAAAACATAATTATGCAATTCCTCATCCTCTTCTCTTTCTCATGTGCCATAGACTGGAATTGTGTCACTGGAACATTTATATGTTGAATCCCTAACTCAAAATGTAATATTATTTGAAGATGTGAAGATGTGGGAAGCAATGAAGTTTAGATAAGGCCACGAGGGCGAGGCCCTGATAACAAGATTAGTTTCTGTATAAGAAAAGGTACTGTAGAACTTCCTTCCCTTCTCTCTTCCTCTGTTTACCAGCATGCCCCAAGAAAAGGCCACGTAGGAACACAGGAAGAAGGCAGCTGATGGATGTAGTGCTACATGCCTGCAACTTGAGAGGTAAGAGAATGACAAATTTGAGGCCAGGGTGGGCAACTTTTGTGACACTTCATCTCAAAATAAAACTTTAAAAAGAGCTGTAGATGTAACTTTATGGTAGAGCACTTTGCTAGTATGTGAAAATCCCTGGATTCAATCTCCCATACTACAAAAAGAAAGAGAAAGAGGGAGGAAGTAAGAAGAGTAAAAAGTATGAGGAGGAGGAAGTAAGGAAAGGAAAATGTATGAGAAGGAAGAGGAAGGAGATTTAACCATGTGCAATCCAAAGAATACCTTACTAGACACTAACCCTTTTGGCACATTGATCATGAACTTCCAATACTGTATCCAGATATGTAAGAAAGAGAAACTTTAAGCCACTCGGTATACAGTATTTTATTTTGACAGCCCAAGAAAACTGAAACACTATCCATTTCTTCCCATCAACCTTCCTTATACCTTAATACCTATAACACTCCCCCCGCCACAGTTTTTGAGATAGGGTCTCACTTTGTTGTGCAGGCTGGTCTTAAACTTGTGGGTTTAAACTGTCCTCCCATTACAGCTTCCCAAGTAACTTGGACAACAAGTATGTGTTGCCATGTCCACCAAAAGCCCCATTATGGTTTGTATTGAAAACGTCTCCCAAAAGGCTCATGTCCAGAAGTGAGGCTTTTAGAAGGTGATTAATTCATGGAGCCACTAACCTCATCAATGGATTAATCCACAGCACAGTGTGCTACTAGGAGGTGAGGGCAGTACCAGGAGAAATAGGTCACTGAGTCTTGCCATTGAAGGGTATATTGTTTTTTGAGCCCTGGGACTCTTTGGCTTTCAATCTCTACCTCTTGGCCGCCCTGAGGTGAGGAGCTTTCCTCCACCATATGTTCTTCCTTGATGCTTATGCCTTCTAGCCAGCTAGCTGTGGATTGAAACCTTTGAAACTATGAGCCAAAGTAAACCTTTCCTCCTTCAAACTATGGATGTTAGGTATCTTGTCCTAGTGAGAAATGTGATTTACAGAAGCCCCTTTTTAATAGCAGTTTGAGATATTTTCCAACTACTCCCTCACATTTCCTGCTCACTCCCTTTAATTTCATGATTCCAAATATTCTTAAATTTTAGACCATTAACCCTACAACCTTTTCACTACCTCATGTGACTTTCAGGCCTTTAGTTCCTGACCCAGGGGCCAGGGGCAATTATCTCTCATAATCTGTCTTGCACACACCCTCAACTCTCTTACCTTTTTCTTCATTGTACTAATCTACTAACACACCAATCTCCATTTTAACTCAACTTTAGGCCTACTCTTCACTAAGCCCAAGGAGATGAACATGGAAGAAGTAAATTATAAACATCTCATGGCCCTTGATATCATTTCTATGCTAATGATTTCCAAATTGATACTTTTCCAGAATGTTCTCCAGTTCATGCTTTGAAACTTAACAGTTTTGGGGCACCACTGAGAAAAATCAAGAGGTATAATTATTTTGCCATCAACTGAAAATATAATGCCTCTACTTGGAGCTATAAACACCACAAATTGACATGCTTAAAACCTAACTTTGGTCTTCTCCAACATTACTCCTACTCCCACTCTGCTCCTACAATTTCCTCACCTTAGTTCCCCATTTTTCTTTTGTTTATTCCTCATCGACCTTATTATATACTCCTAAGTGAAATAAATAAGTCACACGTGTAAATACCAAATAGTTTCTCTGGTGTGAATAAGCTATAATAGTACATAGTTCCCCATTTTTCTAGATACTCAGGCCAGAACTTGAGAATCACCTTTGCCTCTTCTTTTTATCTTTCCATAAGAAAATTCTGTCAACTCTCCTGTCAAACAATTTGTAGTCTCTGATTTGTTCTTCCAGCCGCCATTGCTATGTTCTGGTCTGACCCACCATCATCTCTTCTACAGTTTACTGCAAATAGCTTCCTGACCAGTCTTACTGCTTTCACCTCTTTGCCCATATTTGCTCCCATTACAAGAATTCTTTTAAAATATGAGAACTTATTATTTCCCTACTTTAAATCCTGCAATGACTTCCCATTGTACTTGGGGCACAAGCCTGAGTTCCTATGGAGACTTGTAAGGCCCTGACATTGCATCCTCTTGCTAATTCTCATTTTCCAGTGCTCTTCTCTTTGCTCAGTTTTCATGAGGGCCTTATAGCATCTTTGATGCTTCCCAAAGTAGATAAGCACATTCCATTTCAGGGTTTGTTTTGGGGGGGTTGTTTGTCTATTTGTTTGTTTTCCATGTCAGGGTTTTGCACGTGCTATTTTCTCTGCCTGGATAGCAACATGAGTCATTCTTTCATCATTTTCAATTCTGTTTAAATGTTGCTTTTCAGGGAAGTTTGTTCTCACTACTCCATGTACAAAAAAAAAAAACTTCAAAAATAAACTCTCTGACATGTTTCCTTGTTTTTTAGCTATTACAAACTAATAGAGTTTTATATTGCATTTTATTGGCTTTCATTTCCTAGTAGAATATAAGCTCCATGAAGGCGTTTACTGTGTTTTTTATTCACAGCACTTTTATTCATAACCAAGCCTAGTGCTTACAAAATAGTAGGCACACACAAAATTCTTATGGAAGGGATGATTTAATAGATGTCTAAGTTAATAACATTCACTCAGGAAGGGATTTTTTGGTTTGTCGGTTGATAATTGGCTTAACATTTGGAGTGGATTCTTACTATGTTCTTGTTTCTGTAGAAAACTTTGGATCAAATTGTATTTACTAAACTGGGAATTCATACATCTTAAGAGGTCCTTATATTCATGTGGCTATTTTTGGGAAAATAGAAATAAGGATTGAGGCCCACTTGACCTTACCTGTGGACACAAAGGAGGGAACAGCAAGCTGATCTTCCTTTGGCAATGTGTCGGCATGATGGTGTGTTGCAAGTTCCAGAGAAGGAGTCAACAATACCTGAGATCTAGTTTAGAGAAATATTTACTTGGGTACACTTTATAAATAATGAGAAACAGATGAATTTTCCATTAACCTAATTGCTTGCTCCTTTGCCTAAATTGAATAAAAGTGAGTCAAGCCAGATGGTCAAGGGCACTTTGTCCACTAGAGGCAATAGGTCCCTGTTTCCTCCTTCAAAACTATCTCTGTTGGGCTGGGAATTTAGCTCAGCGGTGCTACTACCTGCCTCACAAGCACAGGGTCCCAAGTTCGATCCCTGATATAAAAAAAAGAAAAAAAATCTCTGTGTCTTGTCTTTAATCTCCTTTTGCCCCCTCTGGTTAGGCATTCCTAGCAGGCTGGTTTTCTGTAAAACTGTTATTTATTAGTTAATTTTTGTAGTATATCCACAAGTATTCTTTTTTTTTTTTTTTGAGGCAAGTCTCCCTAAGTCATTGAATTGGCCAATATGCTTAACTTTGTGATCCTCCTGCCTCAGCCTCCCTGAGTGCTGAGATTATAGGTGCAATGTTTCTATTTCTCTTTTCTTTTCATCCTTCAATCACCACCTAGCTCCTCATATGTGTAGCTTCATATGTGTAATATTGTTATACATTTCTGACTTGTTTCTCCACCTCAGCTATTAATGCTGTATTCCAATGTACTTTTCATACTGCAACCATATTAATATTAAAAGACACTATAAAAGTCATTCTATAATTCATAAAATTGATGTGCCATCTTAATGCCTAAATGTAAAGTCCAACTTCACCTGGCCCTAACTTACCTTTACTGATATGTCTTCTCTTAATTCACACTACATCCTACCACCTTCCTGTCACATCTCCCCCCTGCAAAGTGGCTCCTCTGCATCACAGAGGCAAATTTTTGTTAAATGTCAGACAATAAGTATTTTAGGCATTACATGGCATACTATTTCTGTTTCCACTACTCAACTCAACTCTGTCCTATAGGGCAAAAGCAGTTATTCCAAACATAAATGAATGAGCATATTATATAATCCAATAAAGTTTTAATGTGACATAATTTTCATGTTAATAATTATTACTCTTTTCATTTAAAAATATTTTAAAATATAAAAATCCATTCTTACTACATAGTACCATATAAAAAATAAAGTTGTATATTAGTCACTCACTGCTGGGGCACAATACCCAACATCCATAATTTCTGAGAGGCTTAATTTAGCTCACTGTTTCCAAAGATCTACTATATGGTAGGCTGCCTTCAAGGAAGAAACATCATGGCAGAAGGGTGTTGCAGAGCACATCAAAGATGCTTAGTTCATTGTAGCTAGAGAGCAGAGCAGGAGAGCAGCACCAGAGAAGAACATGGAAGGTACCAGGTATAGTATTTGAGGCCCCTCTTCCATGACCTCCCAGACACACCAAGCAATGTATTCCACCACTCCCTTGGTCATCCTCCAAGCTAATCATACTGACAGAAGCTTAACCATTGCAACAGGCTTTGGCTCTGGGATCATATTGTCAGTCTCTGTTGTACATGTATTTTTTTCAGCTTTAATTGAGTTTATTGGTACATTTTAGGGATACAGTACAGTTATAGTCATTGTTGGGATCTTGTACCTCTACATGACAGGTCTTGGTTCTCATTTTTTCCCCTTACCCCTGCCCTCCCTTCACCCCATCTTCCCCTCCCCATCTATAAACACTTTATTTTCATCTTTTCATTATCTCACATTTTTCCCTTTTTACCCTTCCCCTACACATCCCACCTTCCCTACACCTTTAGCTCCTTTCTTCCCATTTCTCAATGTCAGTAATCTTATTAGGATCTTCTGTATTATTGCAGATTATTCACACCAGAGAAACTATTCGGTATTTACACATGTGTACATGTATTTTACAGTTTATATCTCAATGTCCCCCAGAAAAGGTTCTCATAGGTGGGACTTTTCAGAGCTGGCTGGATCTAGAGTATGTGATACTGAGATTAAGGGCCCACTGATTGGATTTAGCATAGTGCTGCGTGTGCCAGAATGGATTTACTGGAGATAAATACTGGATTTACTGAAGATGGGTGCTCAACCATGGTATGTGTGGCACCACCCAGAAGGCTTAGATAAAAGGGAGGCTTGCTTCACTGTTACTTTGCTGCTGCTGCTGCTGCTGCTGCTGCCGCTGCTGCTGCTGCTGCTGCTGCTTAGTGTCTCCTGTTTGCCATACCATGGACTGATATTGGGGGGTGGTACTGGGGATCGAACTCAGGACCTTGTGCCTGTGAGGCAGGCAGCAGCACCACTGAGCTAAACCCCCAGCCTGACCATGAACTCTTTCTCCTCTGCAATGCTCCTCTGCCTTGGTATCCTGCATTAGACAGACCGAAACCTCTATGAACTGTGAGCTAAAATAAATCTTTCTTTTTTAAAGTTGTAGGTGTCAAGTATTTTGTTTCAGCAATAAGAAAGTAACTAAGACAATATATCACACCTAAGTCCTGCTCTTCCTTCATAATAGTGTTGATTCTGTGAATACTTGCAAATCATTAGTACCAAAGATGCCATCTTGTCCTACTTGAATTTCATTGTTCATATCAAAGATATACCATATTCTGTACCTCTGTGTAGCCCCCATGAGCAGTACAATGTCATGTGAATAATAAAAACTCATCATTTATTGTTTGTCTCTACTAATTATATTGACGATTCTTTGTCACATCATATTATACTTTGCCATATAAAAGAAAAATTTAAAAGCTATTTTTAGTGCCAGGGATTTAGCTCAGTGGAGCAACCCCTGCCTCACAAGCTAAGAGTCCTGAGTTTGATCCCTGCTACCAATAAATAAATTAATGTTTTTTTTCAACATTTTGTGTATTTTGCTTATCTTATTAATTTTAATACATACTCCTGTCCTACACAGCTATTTCAACCGTTGTGAAGCTGGATTTTTAAAATTATATATACCTATTGAGCATGATGATAAATTTTAGCACCAAAAAGTAACTAAATCAATGGTGCAGCTTAGAAATCTTAAAATCAGTCAAGTGTAGGATATTTAAATTATTAAAGTAAAATAAAAAGTTTTCCTAGAAATTTTTCTTTTGTCTTGATTTCTGTCTTATGCTATAAGATCACAGCTTCCTGGACTTAGAAATGTAATTTCCATTTGAAATATTCTATGAAGAACTTAGACTTTGTCTTAAATTTAATTCCAGAAAATATTATGACATAGATAGCACAAGTGAAAGTGGTTTTCCTCTCAAATATATTTGTCCCTATCTGGGTAGATGGCCTGAAAACCAATTTCAGTGATATAAAGTTGTGCTCTTTAAATTTGTTTGCTTGTATGTCTTCTAAAAGAATGTTTACAAAATTCATCCCCTCACAAAATCTGAGACAATGTATGACATAGTTCATTGTAATTAAATAATTAACAAGAAATAATTGCTTTTTTACATAATTAAAATATTAGCCATGTGTAATAGCACACATTAGTAATCTCAACACTGGGGAGGTTGAGGCAGAGGACCCTGAGTTCAAGGCCAGCCTGCGCTACAGAATAAGACCTTGCCTCAAAAGAAATCCAATAAATAAAAACAATTAGAATAAGATTAATTAATTAAAATGTTGAATGACTAAATAAATTTATCCAATATGTTAATTTCCTTAACTATAGTCATGCTTGACTATTTGTATGTATATCAAAGTGTCATGTTGGACACTTTAAATATATATAATAAATAAAAAAATAAAATGTGTGCAATGTCATTTTATTCCGTACTCTTCATTCAATACCTAGTTAAACATTAATAAACAAGTTGTTCTTTGTAGTTAGAAATTTTATTTGCACCCCTTTAACTTGTTCTTTTGTTGTAGTTGACCTATAGAATCTTATCTCAATCTCATATATTCTTTACCTAAAACACATATTGATCAGAATATAATGCTACCATGCAACAAAATAGGATAAAAATGTTTAATTTAACCTCTATATTTTCAGCCCTGTTATGTACCTAGATGCCCCCCCTCAAGCCTCATGCATTTATAGGTTGGGCATTTTGGATCTGGCTGAGTCTAAAATGTGTGATGCTGGGATGAAGGGTTGTGATACTAAATTAGTACTCTGAATTAGGATAGTTCTGGGTGTATCTGAACGTATTTACTAAGACAGAGCCCCCCCACACACACCAGTGTGGATGGCCACAACCAAAAAGTCTTGTAGCCTGGATGAGACAAAAGGAAAAGGCAGGGTGGGGGTGGGAGGGTGAATTGAGTTGCAAGTATTAAATAATTGATCAAGACAACATAACTTGGGCCGGGGATTTAGCTCAGTGGTTCGGTGGCCTGCCTCGCAAGCTCAAGGACCCAAATTCAATCCCCGGTACCACCAAAAAAAAAAAAAAAAAAAAAAAAAAAAAAA